TGTGAAGGACTTCTTCAAGGAGAACTACAAACCACTGCTCAAGGAAATAAGAGAGGACACAAAAAATGGAAAAACATTCCATGCTCATGGTTAGGAAGAATCAATAATGTGAAAATGGCCATACTGCTCAAAATAATCTATAGATTCAATGCTATCCCCATCAAGCTACCATTGACTTTCTTCACAGAATTGGAAAAAAACACCTTAAATTTCATATGGAACCAAAAAAGAACCTACATAGCCAAGACAATCCTAAGCAAAAAGAACAAAGCTGGATGCATTACACTACCTGACTTTAAACTACACTATAAGGCTACTGTAACCGAAACAGGATGGTACTGGTACCAAAACAGAGATATAGACCAATGGAACAGAACAGAGGCCTCAGAAATAATGCCACACACCTACAACCATCTGTTCTTCAACAAACATGACAAAAACAAACAATGGGAAAAGGATTCCCTACTTAATAAACAGTATTGGGAAAACTGTCTAGACATATGCAGAAAGCTGAAACCTTCCTTACACTTTATTCTATCATAAGGACATATGCACATGTATGTTTATTGTAGCACTTGATAAGAGCAAAGACTTGGAACCAGCCCAAATGGCCATCTATGATAGGCTGGATAAAGAAAATGTGGCATATATACACCATGGAATACTACACAGCCATAAAAAAGGATGAGACATGTCCCTTTGCAGGGACATGGATGAAGCTGGAAACCATCATTCTCAGCAAACTAAGCAAGAAGAGAAAACAAAACACCACATGTTCTCACTCATAAGTGGCAGTTGAACAGTGAGAACACATGGACACAGGGAGGGGAACATCACACACTGGGGCCTGGCAGGGGGTCGGGGACTAGGGGAAGGATAGCATTAAGAGAAATACCTAATGTAGATGACAGGGTGATGAATGCAGCCAACCACCATGGTACGTGTATATCTATGTAACAAACCTGCATGTTCTGCACATGTAGCCCAGAACTTAAAGTACAATTAAAAAAAAGAAGTACCCCCCAAAAATACATAAAAAATAAAAGAAAAAGAAATAATATAGTGGGTCTTCATATGTGGAAAAAAAAAGAAATAATAAATATCCAATTTAATAAACCTAAACTTTTAAGAAAATATAAAAGCAACACTGCAGAGCCAAAAAAAACAGAAAAATCAGAGTAGATCCCTGAGGAAAATCAGGCAGAAAAACAAAGACATTTTTATAGCTAGCTAGTGTCAGAAAACTTAAACAAAAAGAGAAGCATTATACTAATGGTATAACTAATGAAGAGAGTGCAGAAGATATTGGTGACAATTTGGGTGAAAGGGTGAAAGGCATGAAGCTGTAAAGGAAGGCCATGGCCTGAGGAAACCTATCTCAATCTGGAGGATGAGAAAAAGAAGAGCACCACTCTATCATCAATGAAGTAATTTAAGAATAACTTAAATAAAAATAATCATGATAGTTGTACTTGAGGATCTTGCATTAAATATTAGCATCACTGAACTCACTATTAATTCACATTAGAAAATTAGAAATATGGCTGGGCATGGTGGCTCATACCTGTAATCCCAGAACTTTGGGAGGCTGAGGCAGGTAGATCACCTGAGGTCAGGAGTTCGAGACCAGCTTGGCCAACATGGTGAAACCCTGTCTCTACTAAAAATAACAAAAATCAGCCAGGTGTGGTGGCACATGCCTGTAATCCCAACTATTTGGGAAGCTGAGGCAGGAGCGTGGCTTGAACCTGGGAGGTGGAGATTGCAGAGAGCTGAGATCATGTCACTGCATCAACAAAGCAAAATTCCATCTAAAAAAAATATTAGAAATACATTATTAAGGAAAGGTCAGCCCAGTAAACCAAAGACTAGAATTAATAGAAACTATCTTCCACTTATATAACTTGGTATTAAACAGACCATTATTAGATTTTGATGTCTAGTTAATATACCATATTCTTTTTCTAAAAATAGTATTTACATGGTCAATGTGTAGAAAATTTGTAAGATACAAGAAAAACACAAGCAGACCGTTAATCTCAGCATCTTGATAGAAATATTGATTTTTGGGTATATATATTTCCATTTTTTTAATAGGTAGTTTTTATGAATTTGCAAGTGGGAATTTAGGTGAGCAAATTTATGGTAGGCAGAATTTTGGCACCTGTGATCTTTATCCTCTGGTATAAAGGGTTGTGAATATGTTACTTCACACAGCAAAAGGGAATTAGGTTTGCTAACCATTTGATTTTTAAATAGGGAGATTCTCCTGGATTATCCGGGTAGAAATGGAAGTGAAACAGGAAGTCAGAGAGTTGGTTAAAAAAATGTGATGGAAATCCAGGAGACAGGAGAGATTCAGAAAATGAGAAGGACTCAACCCCTGCCTGCTGGCTTCACAGATGGAGGACAGGGGCCATGAGCCAGAGAACATGGGTTACCTCTAGAAGCTGAGACTAGCCTCTAGCTGACTGTCAGCAAGAAAATAACCACCACAAGGAACTGAATTCTACCAACACCTAAATAAGCAAGAAAATAGATATCCTATAGAGCCTCAAAGGAATCCAGCCTGCCAACATCTAGATTTTAGTCCTGTGGGATCTATGTCAGATTTCTGACATACAGAGCTGTAAGATAAATATTGTATGTTTATAGGAGGGGGTGGAGGGTGGAGGAAAAAAAGTATGTGTTAAAAAGCCACTAAATTGACTACTCCGCCTATGGAGTAGCCATTCTTTATTCCTTTACTTTCCTAATAAATTTGCTTTCACTTTATGAATTTGCCTTGAATTCTTTCTTGTGTGAGGTCCAAGAACCCTCTCTTGCGTTCTGGATCAGGACCCCCTTCCAGTAACGTCTTCCTAGTGAATCCCAGAGAGGATACTGAGCAACCCCAGACTTAAAGGAAACAGATTGCAGCACTGATTGGCTGACTTTGCATAAGTGGTGGAGTAGCTGGATAAAGGATAGGATTGGGTAAGAGGCCCAAATTAGGGGAGTTACAGTCTCTCCTAAAACAGAGTAGTTTAAAAGCCCCTCTTAATAAAAGGCAAGGATGCTTGACTAAAACCTGGGTTCAAGGTTCAACTTAGGAAGGTTAGAGTCCTTATTAAGATTTAGGGGGTTAGAAGCCATCCTCTAAGTAATGTCCCTTTTGGTTAAAAATAGATTCGGTATTATGGGAAGTTAACCATTATTCTCTACGGATTAATCTGCCTTGCATTCTTTGCTGATGGCTATGGGTGACAGGACTAGGCACGTACAGGACCACGGAGCATGCATGGGGAGGTTTTCCTTCCCCAAAGGGGGAAACTAAGGCTGAAACTAAGTTCTAACCCAGGAGGTTAGAACAAAACTAGCTGGAGTTTTTAAAGAAAAGAGAACGAATCAGCAGAGCGGGGCATTACAAAAGCTATTTCTCAGGAAGTCTCATTTGTTTACAGAAATAACATTGGTTAATGATTGGCTATATATTTTGTTGAACTATATATAGGGTTGAACTGTGGCATTTTATGGCTACTTGGTGTCATTCTAGAGCCTGCATAGCAAGTAGCTTCAAGAGGTAACTATTTAGCTCAAGGGAGAGTGAGACATGACTGCATGCATTCCTTAAAGTTTTTTTTTCCTTGTCATCTGCCTTCTCACACCACACAATTGGGAGTTTCAAGGGACCTTACATGACTTGAGCACATTTCACCTCTTGAAATTAAAGATGAGCAGTTTCCCTTTGTTTAAAGATAAGTCACATGAGAATTTAATTTTGTCAGTTAGAGAATTGGTCCTCCAACTTAAATCTGCAGCTAAGAGCAATATTCTGATTCATCTCCTTTCCTATAGTTTCTGGGTTTTGTTTATCCTCCAATTCCAAATGGCATAATTGCTAGTTCTTTCTCCCACTCAACATCCATCACCAGGTGGGTGTTTCACCCTTTTTCTATCCCTCACATAGGGCCCTCCAAAGGAAAAGAGGGGTGCTGTTTTTTGGGGGAAAGAATGCAGGATAGTTGAATACAACAGCCCAATATTTTATTCACAAATTGATTTTAAGATGACTGAAAAATTTAATAGTGAAATAAACACTTTAATACAGTTTGCTCTATAACTATGTTGTCTACTTTGCTTCACATTTAATATATTACAACTATAGAGTTAAAACAATTGTGATTCCTTAATTCACATGATTAATGAAAACCAAGCTTAATTCTCGGTTTAGATGTTGTGTATTGCTGAAAGTAACACAAAGCATTAATAGATGAAAGGAATTCAACACCCATTTTGGGTATATAGTATTTCTGCCTTCAAGCTAACGTAGATTTCATTTGAGTTTTTAAAAAACAGCAACTGTGCTATACTACCATATCCAGTAGTTGTAAACACCTGGGCAACGTAGTTACCTTTCTAGGGCTTGTTTCCTTATACATAAAACCTATTGGTACCCCAGGCCAGCTCTCCTACATCTTCCTGGTCCGGGGGCCATGGACAATCTAAAAACCTCGTTTAACAAATATTTGGTGTTCAGTGTAAAACAGTGTGCTTGATGCCGAGAATACCATATTAGCACAAGACAGAACAGCAAGAAATTCACATAATGAAACGGACCAGCTGTGAGTAGTTTCCAGTGGATATAACCTTTGCTTTGTTGGCCTTTAAATAATAAGTAAATCAACTGCTGCAACTGCGATACGTGCACTCGTGGGAACACTGCAAATTCTTAAACTGCCATCCCAAGGCGGACAATACAGAATTTCATTTTATTTTCACTTTTCCAGGGGTTAAATTCGGGCCTGGTACTGCGGTACTCTCAGGGAGGCTTCCCTCACCTCTCCCACTGACGCTACTTAATCTCACCTGCACTCTAGAACTACCCACACTTTCCTTCCGGGTTCTGGGTGAACTATCCCACTGGGCTTGGGCCAATGCGCTAGTTCCTTCTCAGCTGCAGGGTGGGACCTTGAGCCAGTCTTCAGAGACCCGCCCCCCCTCCCCGCCCTCCGTACGTGGCGTGCGTGCAGGGCGTTGTGCGGCGCGGGCCGGTTTCTGCGGCGCTTGGCGCCCCCCGGCGGCAACGGGGCTTCAATGCCACGGCCTGACTGGAGCGTCCGCCATGGAGTCGCAGAAAGAGGCGCGAACACTCCAGGAGCCAGTCCAGCGGCCGCCTGGGGCCTCAAGGTCTCAGACACCGAAGGACAAGGAGCGGCGGGAGCGCAGCGCAGTGCCGGAGGCGGCTGCCCTGGGCGCAGAGGCGGACGACACCAGTGCGGACGGGCTATGGGAGCTGCCGGTGGAGCCGGCCGATCGGAGGCCCGAGTGCAGCCGCTGCAGGTGACCGCGGGGCCGGGGGCGGGGACTGCAGCCGGCGGTGGCGTTCGGAGGAGGCTGCGGCGCCCCCTGCAGGGGAGGCGGCGGTTTGGGCTGCTCTGCGCTTAGGTCGGCGGGGTTGGCGGTCGCACCTTGGAAATCCCGGAAATGCCTGGCACAGCTACTTAGAAGCCCTTTATCCAGGTTCATGATTATTTAACCTTACTTCCTTCAACATATTGAGCGTATCATGGGGTGAGCAGACATCAGTTCTGTTTCCAAGAAACTTAAGTGTCCAATAGGGAAAGTAAGGAGTGATGACAATAATACTTGTAGTTACGCAGTCATACTTAAGTGGCATAGTCATATCACAGTTAAAAAACATAAGGTGGATTGGAGGAGAGAGGCAGTCTCCTTTGCCTGTCCTGCCAAAACTCTAAATATAGGGCCTTTTCAGGTCTTCATTATGGGTTCTCTTCTAAACCTACGCACGTCGACTGGTAATTTTAAAAATCAGTTTTCATGGTAAATTATCACCTATATCCTAGTGTATCTAGTTCAGACCTTTCTTCTGAGCACCAGAACTGTGTATTAATTAATTTATCAGGTGTTTATTGAGTGCTTTGATAATCACTGACAATTGTAGAGTATTCTCTACGCTACACTGTCTTTGTAGAGTATTCTCTTACTGGATACAGATAATAAACCTGCAAACAAACAAATATGTAATTACAAACTGGGAAAAAGCAATGAGGGAAAGGAATGGGATGCTATTGTAGAAAATAGCTAGATGGTGTCAGAAACTATCTCTGAGACCTGAAAGATGAGAATAATCTAGCCGGGGAAACAGCACTCCAAGAAGGGGAACAGAAAGACTGAATATGGTTGAAGATCTTACTGCTTGAGTACTTGGAGTATCTTACTTTGGACATTTTGACCTTTTCCTAGGGCTAGATTGTAAGGCTTCAGAGAAAGGGATCTTGAATATATAATGTTTTTATATTTTCTAAGTGTACTATGTATAGTTGATGCTCAGTAAACCTTTGAGGAGGATGGAAAATTTGTGATTTAGGGACTGTGATTTTGAACATAAGGGTTTGTGAATACAATTAATTTAAAGAGTTAGGGGAAACATTTAAAAAGGTTTGGACAGATCTCAATAAGATACTGAAAGAAAAGTGTTTCAAATATAAATCAAAGGCTAAATTAGTGTGCTAGCTTTATTATGTAGTTTTTAGTCTGTTCAGAACTGTTAATTATAAACATGTAGTTAAAAAATCTGTTTAGTAGAGATTTATGATGCTTTTTTAAAAATAAAAATGACAGCAGGACAATATTCAACTCCAGGTAATACAGAGAACACCACAAAGATATTCCTCAAGAAGAGCAACCCCAAGGCACATAATTGTCAGATTCACCAGGGTTGAAATGAAGGAGAAAATGCTAAGGGCAGCCAGAGAGAAAGGTCGGGTCACCCACAAAGGGAAGCCTATCAGACTCACAGCAGATCTCTCAGCAGAAACCCTACAAGCCAGAAGAGAGTGGTGACCAATATTTAACATTCTTAAAGAAAAGAACTTTCAACCCAGAATTTCATATCCAGCCAAACTACGCTTCACAAGCGAAGGAAAAATAAAATCTTTTGTGAACAAGCAAGTACTTAGAGCTTTCATCACCACCAGGCCTGCTTTACAAGAGCTTCTGAAAGAAGCACTACACATAGATAGGAACAACCAGTATCAGCCTTTCCAAAAATATACCAAAAAGTAAAGAGCATCAACATAATGAAGAATTTACATCAATGAATGGGCAAAACAGCCAGCTAGCATCAAATGGCAGTATTAAACTCACAGATATTATTATTAATCCTAAATTTAAATCGACTAAATCCTCCAATCAAAAGACACAGACAGGCAAATTGAATAAAAAGCGAAAACCCATAGGTATGCTGCATCCAGACCCATCTCACATGCAAGGATACACAAAGACTCAAAACAAAGGGATAGAGGAAGATTTACCAACCAAATGGAGAGCAAAAATAAATAAATAAATAAAAAGCAGGAGTTGCAATTCTCGTCTCTGATAACATAGACTTTAAAGCAACAAAGATCAAAAAAGGCAAAGAAGGACATTACATAATGGTAAAAGGATCAGTGCAACAAGAAGAACTAACGATCCTAAATATATACGCACCCAATACAGGAGCACCCAGATAAGTAAGACAAGTTCTTAATGACTTATAAAGAAACTTAGACTCCCACACAATAATAGTGGGAGACTTTAACATCACATTGTCAATATTAGACAGATCAATGAGACAGAAAATTAACAAGGATATTCAGGACTTGAACTCAGACCCGGAACAAGTAAACTTAATAAACATTTATAGAACTGTCCACCCCAAATACACAAAACATACATTCTTATCAGTACCACATCACACCTACTCTAAAAGTGACCACATAATTGGAAGTAAATCACTCCTCAGTAATTGCATAGCATTTCACAGGTTTAAATGAAATATTGGTTGGCTGCTTGTTTGTTATTTTCCTCCCTTATTCCTTTCTGTCCCCATTGTTAAGCATAATTAAGGGCATAAAAGAGGTTTTCAATACCCATTTTTAGACTGCATTCTAACCTGGGCAATAAAGCAATACTCCTGTTCTCTCTCCCTCTTTCTCTTCCTCTTTCTTCCTCTCTTTTATTCTTTTTTTAATTCTTTTTTTTCTTTCGTTATCTCTTTCCTTCTTTTTTTCAAAAAATAAAATGACTTGCTGAATTTTATCTTTTTTTTCAGTGATTTAGTTAATATTTAGGATTACAGTTTTCCCCAACATTTCTGCACTTTGCTTATTCTGATGAAATTTGCTACCTGTGAAAAGCTCTTCTGCCTCTTGGCATGCTATGCATTCTATTTGCTTTCATTAGGTAAACTATAATTCTAGAATAATGGAGAACATTTAGGTTTTTTCAATAAAATGTAAATGAATTAATGGCTTTTTATTTTTATTAGGCTATTAGAGTTCTGCCAGTACCCTGGGTGAACTTCTTTACATTTATGCTTAAAATAGTTTTAAAAATCTATTATTAGATTTGTTTGATCAGTAAGTCACAGTTATTTGGCTATTAAGCTGTATTCATTTCTCTGAACATGTTACTAAAAATGTCACAGCCTAGGGGAGTTCTAGAAATTAGGTTTGTTCAGGAAGTGCAAACTCAGTTTAACTTTTCAGCAGAATTTTCTCATTAGAAACACAACATATCTTACATATGAATTGAATATTCTTAAAACATCCCAAACTTGTATTATTTGCAGGATATAGATTCTATAAATGTATTCTGTCCTTTATGTGTATCTTGTTTTCAAAACCTGTCTGTATTTCATTTACTTCTTAGAATACCTTTTCTATCCCCTATTCCCAAACATATAACATTATCTTTGTTCAGATGAAGACAAAACCTTGGTTGAGCTCCCCAAAGTATGTAACGTTAGCATTATTTGAGATAAAATAAGAAGGCTGAGGGTCATGGGACATGGTAGGTGCACAAAAGATTTGTTGAACTACTTGGTAAAAGTCAGTTGTTCAACAAATGTTTTTGGAGACTCTACTTCCAGACAGTGTGATAGGCACACAACTATGAAATACAGAGATGAAAAAGAGGTGATTTCAATTCTCCTGTAGCTCAGGATCTAGTGGAAAGTAGCATATCTATTTAAATGGGGAGCCCTCAGATTAAAAATTCAACGATGTATTTCAAATTATTATTATTTTCCTTCTGTTTTTTCAAATTACAGGTAACGAACCACAGTGAAACTTTTGTTACATGCACACTCGTATGTAGTAGAGAATGTATTCAAAAGGAGTTTGAAAAACATCACATTTTTGAGGCTCTGAGGAAAAGAGCAAAAAGTATTTTCTGAATTTTTCAAAGTAAAAGTATTTGTAAAATAACTGTTCAGGTTAAATTTATTTTGCTAATTTAAATAATCTTATTTAAATTATATAACATCAGAGTGGAAAGATTTAAACACTTTTTATATGTATTTGATATCCTTTGCCAGTCTTTGAAATTAGGCCATGATGGGACTAAGAGTCAGAAGGTTAAAGGATGCATGCTCACCAGGTAGTGCTTCTGAGATTTTACTAAAATCTTTAATTTTGTTAGGAAATAAAATGTAATATATGTATGTATATGTACCTATATGTATATGCATATGTATATGTACCTATATGTGCATATATATATATTCCGCACATAAGCATGTGGACTTTTGCTTTTTGAATTCTACACTATCAGCTTCTTTCTTAGATGGGTATATGTAAGGTGTTATAGGAACACATAAAAAGGTGCTTCTAACCCTAAGTTTGTGCAGTGGAGGTGAGGAAAAGATCAGGGAAATCTTAGAAGTGACATGAAGCTGAGACTGAAGGACATAACAAAATATTTCATCTGGATTATAATATTTAGGATTAATTAGGGAAGAGACGGGCTATGGGGAGGGCTTGAGGGAGGAAAAAGTGAGCTCTGGTTGAGGAAACATCGTTCAAGAATTCTATATATAGTGTATTTGGAGAGTTTGGCAGAAGGGAGGGAGTAGTGAGAGAAAAGGCTGCAGAGATTAGTGGTAGTTGCCCCAGGCAGGGCAAGATAAACTATGTCAGGGAGTTTGGGCCCAATGTTCTAGAACCCAACAAGCCAGCCACTGTAGTATTTTCATGTTTGAATGGTGGTGATAAGTTTGACTTTGGTAGGTTACTTTTAGTTGTATGATTTATACTTTTTTATTTTATACAACTGGATGGTGATAAAAGGATCCAAGCTTGACTGGGAAGAATTAGGGCCTCATTCCAGAAATATTTTAGGCATCTTAATTATACTTTTACTTCTTCTGTAGATATTGCTATGCATTTGAGGATGAGTCATAAACCACTTGCAAATCATTGGTCATAGGAATAGTGGAATAATGGCTAAAAACAGCGTGTTTTAAAACCTTTTTAAGGGAAGAAACAGCAAGGAGAGTG